CCATCCCTGCTTCGCAGGTTTCGGACGAGGACGTGGAGGACGCGCTGTTCCACGAGTTCAAGAAGTTCGGGGACGTGAGCGTGAAGCTGTCTCACGCTCCGGAGCTGGGCCGCATCGCCTACGTAAACTTCCGGCACACGGAGGACGCCCGCGAGGCGCGGCACGCCAAGGCCTCGCGGCTGGCTCTGGGCGAGCGCCCGCTGAAGGTGGAGCCGATGTACGTGCGGCGGCGCAGCGTCACGCCGCCGGACGCGGGCGGCTTCCTGCACGCGCCTTTCCCCTACCGCCAGCGCTCGCTGTCCCCGCCCGGGGCGGGCGGAGTCAGCGTGGCCGGCGGGTTACGCGAGCTAAGGGAGCTACGGGCGCGCCACTACGCGCTGGAGACGCTAGGTTTGAGCCGCGAGCGCGAGCGGCTGCTGGACTATTATGGGATGCTGGAGGAGCGCGGCGGGCGGCCGTACGGGTTCCCGCCGCCGCCGGCCTCGCTAGCCCCGCCCCCCTCGCTAGCCCCGCCCCCCCCGGCGGCGCTGATGATGGCGGCGGCGGCCGCGGCGGCGGCGGCGGGCGACGACCTGAAGCCCGAGGACGACCAGCGCGCGACGAGCAACCTGTTCATCGGCAACCTGGACGGCAACGTGACGGAGGCGGAGCTCCGGCGCGGCTTCGAGAAGTACGGCGCCATCGAGGACGTGGTCATCAAGCGCCCCGCGCGCGGGCAGGGCGGCGCCTACGCCTTCGTGCGCTTCCAGAACCTGGACATGGCGCACCGCGCCAAGGTGGCCATGCAGGGCCGGCTGGTGGGCGGCAACCCGGTGAAGATCGGCTACGGGAAGGCCAACCCCACCACGCGGCTGTGGGTGGGCGGGCTGGGCGCCGGGAACTCGCTGGCGGCGCTGGCGCGCGAATTCGACCGCTTCGGCAGCATCCGCTGCATCGACTACGCCAAGGGCGACAGCCACGCCTACGTCCAGTACGAGAGCCTGGACGCCGCGCAGGCCGCCTGCACGCAGATGCGCGGCTTCCCTCTGGGGGGCGCCGAGCGCCGGCTGCGGGTGGATTTCGCCCGCGTGGAGGAGGGAGCCGCCGCCGCCGCCGGGCGCCCGTTCCCCAACGCCGGATACCCGCCATTACCGGCGCCGCCCGTCGGTTACGAGCTGCTAGGGGAGGCGTTCGGGCGCCGCCGAAGCCTGGAGCGCGAGTTAAGGGGGGGGGGCGGCGCCAGGGAGCGCTCGCCGCCGCCCGTCCACAGCCTGCTGGCGCTGCGCGAGCGGGCGGAGACGTATCGGGATTTCCCCGGCAACCGGGCGGCGCCCGTGGAGGCGTTCGGACGCAGCCTTGGCGGCGGCGGCGTTGGGCGGACGGCGAGGAGCCGCAGCCGCAGCCGGGAGCGCTGGATTAAGGAGCGGGAGGAGCGCCGCGGGGGCGGGAGGAGACGGAGCCGCAGCGCGTCCGCCGACAAACCGGCGCCCGCTGAGGAGAAGGAGAAGGAGAAGGAGCGGGGACGGGCGCGGCGAGCGGGAACGGGCGCCATTTCCAACGCCGTCAACGCCATTAACGCCTCCCCGGAGGCGAGTCCCGACCGGGCGAGGGTCCGGGCTCCAGACTCCACCACAGAACCACCGGACCACCCCCCCGACGCGGAGGACAAGGAGGAGGCTCCGCCCGGGCGCCATCACGGGAAACGGGCGGTTGGCGTTGGCGAGGTTGCCGTTGGCGACGGGGGCGGCGTTTCCCCGGTAACGGCGGCAGCCGGCGGCTCACTGTGGGAGTTCGCCCAGGCCGCTCTGACCCGGCTCTGGCGCGGATTCTTCGCGCTGAAGAACAGCTCCTTCCCCACCGACCTCTTCCTGCTGGAGGGCGGGGCCTCCTTTTTCGGCGCCGTAATGGCGGCGGCGAGCGGCGGCGCCGGCGGCAACGGCGGCGGGCGTCTGAAGATCGCCCAGCGGCTGCGGATGGACCAGACGCGGCTGGACGAGGTCGGGCGCCGGATCGCGTTGGGGCGGCCGCACAACGGCTTCGCCGTGCTGCTGGCGCTGCAGGGCCCGCTGGAGCGCCGGGCGCCATCGGGGGGGGGGGCGGGGCCGGAGGGGGCGGGGCTTCAGGTGCGCCTGCTGCGCCACCTGGTGACGTACCTGCGCAACAAGGAGGCGGCCGGCGTGGTCAGCCTGCCCGCGGCTAAGGAGGGCGGGCCGGGCGCCATGCTGTACGCGTTCCCCCCGGGGCCGTTCTCGCAGCAGTTCCTGCAGAAGAAGAACCCGGGCAAAACGGAGGAGGAGCACATGGTGGTCGTCATCGTCAACGACACCAACTGAGGCCGCCGCCGGCGAGCGGGCGGCCGGTGGCGAGCGGGCGGCCTGCTAACAGCTAGCCCGTGTTATTGTCCAGACCGCGGCCACGGTCACAGGGGGTCAAACATTTCCCCAGAGATGTGAGGAAGAGGCAGTGGAGAGGACTCTCCACATCCAGCCCCATTCCTGTTTTGAGAAGACCAGCAGACCACCGGGCATCTCTCTGACTTAAATGCATTTTAAGACTAGCAGCCAACAGTCGGTCGGTTGGCTAGCGATCGGTAAGCCGGCGGTCAGTTGGCCTGCCAACAGCTAGCTGCCGGTCGACGGCTAGCGGTTGACCCGTGAGCTGGCGGTCAGCCGACAAGCAACTGCCAACTGCCAGCGGACGAGGAGCACATGGTCATCGTCAACGACACCAACTGAGGCGGGCGGTCTGCCTGTGAACAGCTAGCTGGCGGTTGACGGCTAGCGGTGAGCAGGCGGTCAGCCGAAAAGCAGCCAACTGCCGGTCGGTCGGTTGGCTAGCGGGCGGTCAGCCTGGGAACAGCCAGCAGCGGCAGCCAACAGGCCGGTCAGACAGCCAGTGGCGGTCAGCTGCTGTTCGGTCGGTCGGTGGCGAGCTGGCAATTGGCTGGCGGTCGGCCTGCGAACAGCTAGCTGGCGGTCGACGGCTAGCGGGCGGCTAACGGTCAGCTAACGGTCAGCCCGTGAGCTGGTGGCTGTTGAGCTGCCGGACGGCTAGCGACGGCCAGTCGGCGGCGAGCAGCCAGTGGCAGCGGCCAACAGGCCGATTGGTCAGACAGCCAGCGGCTGGAAGCGGTCAGCTGGCGCTTGGCCTGTGAGCAGCTAGCTGGCGGTTGACAGCTAGCAGGCTAGCGGTCGACCCGTAAGCTGGCGGTCAGCTGGCGGCGAGCGGTCAACTGGCGGTTGGTGCCGAGCTGGCGGCCGTCAAGCGATCGGTCGGCTAGCAGGCTAGCAGTCGACCCGTGAGCAGTCGGCCTGCCAACAGCTAGCTGGCAGTTGATGGCTAGCGGTGAGCAGGCAGTCAGCCGAAAAGCAGCCAACTGCTGGTCGGTCGGTTGGCTAGCGGTCGGTCAACCATGGAACAGCCATCAGCAGCAGCCAACAGACCGGTTGGACAATGGCGAGCGGTCAGCGGGCGCCGGTCGGCCTCACAGACTTGGACAATGGCGGCGGTCAGCTAGCCGGCGGCAGGCAGCTAGCAGGCTGGTGGCGGTCAGCCGGCCTCTCAGACTCGAGTGTTGTCTCCAGACGTGGTTCCACTACAGGACAGGACTCTGCTGTTTTTACTCTTTAAGCTGTAACATTCGACACTAAAAAGCCCGACGGGGTTGTTTTTAAGCCGGTTCCTTTATCTGTTTTGACTCTGCCGTTGCCCCCGGCGACCCGGCCGGCCGTTGCCGCGGCGACCCGGGCGGCCGCAGCGTGGCGTGGTGGTTCTGGTTTTGTATGTACACGTTTCTACGTTCAGTTTTAATACATCAGTCCATCCATCTGTGAGCCGTCTGCTCGTTATTTCACCCCAAAACGCTGTGCGGTCACTATTGGGTCCAAATATATCAACATTTTCACATATTTCTGTTTAAATCTGCTTTGAAGTGAATTTCAAATCATTTCGGGATTCTCTTCTGAGCCTGAATTTGCTGAAAGTCTTTTTTTATCAGGATATTCTGCAGTTAAATGTCAGAAAAACATAGAATCTGGGATATTATTCCCCTCAAACTTGCTTACTCTTTAGGACTTTATACAGAAATATCACCAAAAAAAAGCATTTTTGGTAAAAAAATAAAACGTTTTTCTTTGTCAGACGTCAGAAAAAGTGCCAACATGTTGTAATGATGTGGAAAATTCTCAGATTTTAAAGTTAGTCACTGAAAATAGGAACTAAAATCTGATTTTATATAGTCTGAACTGTTACATTAACTGACACATAAACCGATGGAAGCCGGATTAAAACACTCCCATTCCTCTGAAAATGCTCAGCTAAAGGACACAAAACGAGGGTTTAAAGAAAAGAAGACTTCTCTTATTATTATTATTTAGGTGGATTTCTTTCTTCTTTCTTTTCTTTTCAGCTCTTTATGTATAAACAGGTCGAATAAAGAGTGAAAAAAAGGCGTAATTAATCAGAGAAAATCAGCATTTGGGGTCCTGGTTCTGGACAAAATGAGCTGGTTCTGTTCAGCCTGGTTCAAACGTTTTAAAAATCCATTACAGTACAGGTGTTTTAACTATAAAGATACATTCTTTTGGGGTTTTTTTATTTATCTTTTTCTTATTTTTTTGCTAAGAAATTATCTTGTTTCAGCCTCTAAATGAAGTCCAGTGAATCATAATTAGTCCAATAAACATTTCATGAAAGGGTTTGAACAAGTTAGTATGAAAAAATGCTAAAATATGTCCACGTATTAGTGTATTTCTCTGTTAATTACGATTTAAAAGGGATTTTTTGGTCTAAATATTTCAGGAAGTCTCACCTGAGCCTGGATTTTTCTCTGATGTTCAGTAGAAAGCAACAAGAAGTCAGTTTTTCTGGATATTCTGGACTTAAATCTGGCGTTTTTCTAACGTACTACGGAGCCTGTTCAAACCTGTGACGTCATTCCAGTTGAAGCGCGTTTCCGGGTCCGGTTGGTCCTCGCGGGTTCCCGTAGTTCTCAGGTGGGGCTCCACAGGTGGTTCCGCTTCCTCTGGACCATAGACATATTTATATATATTTATGTCTATGCTCTGGACCCTCGTTCCGGTTCTGAGACACCGAGCAGAACTCCGAGGGACGGTCTGTGTTTTCCTGTTCGTTTGCGGAGGATCACGTGACGCAAACAGGTTGTAGAACCAGCGTAGAAGAAGAAGAGGGCTCTTCCCGCCTAAAGGCGTTTCCATGGTGACAGCTACCGGCCCGTATCCAGTGCAACCATCACAGATGCAAATAACGAGGGAAATGAATAAAGAAATGTAAATAAATGTAAAACAAAGTCCATATTTCTTTTTCTAAGCAACAAATCTGACCAAAGAACTTCATGAATCGATTAAAAAAGTCATTAATCAGTTTAAAAAAAACATGAAAACAAACGGAATATCCTTTAATATACAAATGATATAATTTATAAATAAAACCAGTGAAATATTTTAAAAAAAATGCAATTTGAGAATCGAAGACCGTGAAAGGGCTGATGGGACTCGGACAGGTCGTGGTTCTGGAGCCCAAACGGGGCTCTGAGAGCTCCTTTTAGCTTTACAAAACAAACCAAAAGCAGAAAACTTAGTCTGTGTTTGGTTTCTAGAGGTCAGACCGGTCAGAGAACATTTAAGCCTGTAATCAGGAATTAGTTCCTGTGGTCGTTAAATAAGAAAATTTCATATAAGAAAAACAAATGTTTAATCCATGATTTGGCTTTCTGGGGTGTGGAGCACCAGCCAGGACTATAAAGGATGGAGGAAGAGTTTTTTAAACTAGTTCCTGTATCGATGCCGGCTCACCAGCTCTTATGGATTACTTTTGAATGTATTTGACTCTTTTCAGTGTTTTTCTGACTCTAACTTTAAAGGAGCTCTTTTATTCCTAACAATTTTTTGAGTGGGGTTTTCTAAAAGTTGCTGGGGGTTAATCCAGTGTTAAAACTGGCCCCGATGTGGAGATTCCTCCACTCTAAACTGAACTTTTTAATCAAAGAACCCTCAGACATATTCTGTCCACTAACTTTTCCAGCCAGTTGAAGCTGGACTTTTTTGGCTCTAAATCTCAGTCAAAACTGGACTTTTCTGGCTCTAAATCTCAGTCAAAACAGGACTTTTCTGGCTCTAAAACTCAGTCAAAACTGGACTTTTCTGGCTCTAAATCTCAGTCAAAACTGGACTTTTCTGGCCTAAAACTCAGTCAAAACTGGACTTTTCTGGCTCTAAATCTCAGTCCAAACTGGACTTTTCTGGCCTAAAACGCAGTCAAAACTGGACTTTTCTGTCTCTAAAACTCAGTCAAAACTGAATTTTCTGGCTTTAAAACTCAGTCAAAACTGGACTTTTCTGGCTCTAAAGATCTGTCAAAACTGGACTTTTCTGGTTCTAAAACTGAGACAGAGCTGGATTTTTCTGTTTCCATAACCAGTTCCAGTTTGCTGTTTTGTCAGACTTTCCAGCTCACCTCATCCCAGAATGAGGGCGGTTCATTAGATGTGGAGAACATCCAGGTAAGCTGCTTCTGTTTTCTCTGATGACATATTTTTAATGTCATAATTCACACAAGGAGATGAGTAAAATATCCTTTCAAAAGATGGAAACTTTTAAAGGGCCAGAGATAGTTTAATAACTACAAATCCTGTAGAATTCAGTTTACTGTTTCTAAATGTCTGTAACGTCTCAAACGTCATCAAGAAGCCACGTGATACTCGGATATAAGCAGTGGCGGACCGTGCTTTTCACACCTAGGCCTTCAGTAGTATTCCGTCTGAATCAACTCACCCCTCAATAACTATTTTATGGTTATAGAAATCATCTTATTATGTAGAAATACAGTAGGGATGTCCCGATCCAGCTTTTTGTATCAAAGTTGAAAGTTATTTATCTACTTATTTAGTTGTCAGACTCATGTTGAACAGGGATTTACTCTGATAACAACTTAATGGTTAGGACACAGACCTGTGGGTTACAGATGCTAATGCTAATGCTAATGGTCGTGTGCGATCAGACTTTTTAAAAAATGGATCTGGAGTCTGGATCGGCATTTTCTCATGCCTAAAAGATCAGGGGTGCACAAGTCTCCGCCCCCCCCCCAAAAAAACAAACAAAACATAAATAATATCCTCATAAACTTGCGACGTTATTTAGGAAAAAGGCAACATTTTACTCACTCACTTTTCTTGAAAAGTCTGTTTTGAAAATGGCCTTGACAGTAAATCTGACACCAAATAATAAAATAGCTATTACAGCAACACAACTATATTTCGGTTTGTTTGCTAGCTTTGCCCTGATTGGATATCTCACTATCCAATCAGCGGGCGTGAATACGGTGACGTTGCCTTTGGCCCTCCAGAATGCCCCGGTCTCACCAACCTAAAATCTGATTGGTTAAAGCAACGGTGTACTCGACACGTATTTTCTGTTGGGGGGGGCCTGCAGAACGGACTGTGAAGGCCTCCTGGCAGACATGTTTGACTTTGACCCTGCCTAGCGACAGATGACGGCTGAAATGTGATTGGTTAAATGCTTTTATATAAAAAGGAAACGCATGCCTGGAAGCAGCACAACCAGCGGAAAATATTTTAGAGGAAGACTATTCATCTAAAATAGTCTATTAGTCAGAATATTTTAATATATTTAATAAAATATAATTAAAATCTGTCTATATTTATCATATATTTGAGATTTTGTCAGGCCCACTGAGAAGGCTTTGCAGACCCTGACGACTGGATATAATTAAACGACTGGCGGGAGTGGGAGTTTTTTGGAAAGTAAGACAGACTATCTAACTCTGTCTGAAATGAGGATTTCCAAAATTCTCATTTTGGGTCTAATACTACTCTGTTGTTCCACAGTAGTGAACGGTGAGTGTTTTGTGCGTTTGTGTCGCAGCTCAAATATCGTTTTGCGTTTGCTCGGTGGCTGAAGCCGTTACGCTAGCTGTTAGCCGTTAGCTAAAAAAAACTACTCCACTTAACATTTGTTCTTATCCGACTACTGCGGCTTTTATATGATGTTTACGCGACTCTGAATAGTCGCTGTGGTTTTTGCTCGTCTGAAGTTAATCGGATGGCGTTACGAGTCGGTTACGCCATTTCCGCCATTTTAAATTCACTATGGCCCTTGAATAGGTCTAAACGCCACGTAGCCTAAACGCCACGTAGCCTAAACGCTATGTGCCACGATGTCCATTTCCGCGTCGTCCTTCCTGTTTATTTACACAAAGACGACACAAAAAACTTTCATTTGTAGAAGGTCGAGAGCATAAAAATGTGTTTTTCTTATTTTTGGAAAAACATTCCCGGACCGATTGAGATTAAAGGTTAAAGTTTAAGTTAAGTTAAATCTAAGGGAAATGGACTTTCTGCTCCGACAAGGCCAGGCTAGGGCTAAGGCTAATTTAAGGCCAAGCTAAGGCTAAGGCTAAGGCTAAAGCTAGGGCTAATTTAAGGCCAAGCTAAGGCTAAAGCTAAGCTAAGGCTAAGGCTAATTTAAGGCCAAGCTAAGGCTAAGGCAGTGCTTCTCAAATAGTACGATACCTGGGGGGGCGCGTGTGACCCTGGGGAACGGGCTTTTTTTTGGGCTGTACTAGTATAAAGTGTAATTACGCAACATTTTACGACTTACAAGAGAACAGGTTAGCCGCGGTTAGCAGTGCTGAGTCAGCAGAAAAAGCTCCGACTGCGTTCTCTCTATAGCCTTTTATATATTGTGCTACTGAGTTAATGTTGCTGAACTGAATATAAATGAGTTATTATTTTTTTAGTTTTTGTAGTTTATTAGTTATTATTATTATTAATGATTATTCATTGATTTGATTTAATTTTGCAATGGTGCAATTAGTTGGT